GACAATGTGGCGGAAGGTGCGAGCGCAGAATGCGCTTTTGTCACTGATAACAACCGAGGCTAATTGGATATGAAACAGTATTGCACGTCGTTTGTGCAGTTTGTGAATAGAAGGGGGTTAATTCACTGATTGTAAGGTGAAATGTGTTCAAAGGGGATAATAGTTTTCGTTGGATAACGTTTAGTGCTATGATTCCCTCGGTATCACCACTGGATAGGTCTTTAAAATATATTGAGTTTAGTAGGCTACCATCTCAAATGGTTCAATCTAAAAAGCTCCGGGAAATCTTCAGGAACCACGTCTTTTTCGATTCTATTCAGCAAAGTTACAATTCAAACTTGATGTCGAAAACGTAAAATAAAACCACCAGAAATCAATTACGTAAATCCCCAAACCAGTAGCCACCTTAATCTTACTTCACAGGGAATATTGACACGAGTGCGAGTTGCCCGATAATAAATGCATTACCGCAGTTGTCCCGTCCCAACATGTTATCCTAGACTCGTTAATCGGACGGGCTTCACTTGTATGTTTACTCGGCGAGTGGAATATTTACATACATAATTCGAATTAAACACAGTCCGGCAAGACGACGACGAGCAATATGCAAATGCTAGAGCGGCCTTGGGTTCCACATAAAATACACAATTTCGCGGCAAATGCAATACGAGCAAAGCCTATAATCATAAAGTTTAACATGGAAACTCCATCAGCCCGGCACCTGATCCCCTTCGCCTTCGTTTAACCCGACCGCTTTTATGCGTTTATTATTCTAGTCGAATGGGAGTCGAAAATAAATTGGGTGTATAAATTTCCGAACGCTCCCGAATGGAATAGTGCAACTTTTGGCGGTAAACAATTGTGATTCTGAAACGATTACAGAACTTTAAACGACTTTGGATTTATGGCCGATTCGAAGACTGTTGAGGTTAAGTGTTGTTGATAGTGATGTTCCAAGAGAGACCGAAGCTACTGTTTCTGAGTGGAGATAGTTTGTTTCTAGTTGAGAACCACGTTTTGAAATAGACATTGATAAAAACGATGACATTTTTTTACACTTTCCTTTGATTGGATATAAATTTAAACTAAATAATGAATATAATATAAACGTTTACCATTTGCAGCTCTATGAAAACATGCATTACCTTATCAGTCACTTGCCAGCTTAGTGATTTCATTTCAGAGAATGAGAGGAAAAAATATGCAAAACTAATGTTAACGCTAGACAATTAAATGAATTATAAATAAAATAAACCTCAATACAAAGCAAAATAAGTTGCAACGTTGTAGTCTTGAGGCGGCTGAGGCGGCGGGCGGCCCCTCCTCACCCGTATTGATCGGCCCAGCCAAAATTGATTTTAGTCCGAAGCCCAGACCCACGGTTGTTAATTGATACGGCCCATCGTATTATTTTTCGTTTTTGTAACGCGCGTAACCCGATCCGATATCAAGAGAGAGCGGCGACCGGCGTCGTCCCATAGCGCAGACGGGTCACCAGTCTCTGGCGCAATACCGTACACCGCACACTATAGTCTGTGCGATCTAACATTGCTTTGGTCTCACACAGACGGGTCACCAGCCTCTGGCGCAATACCGTACATCGCACACTATAGTCTGTGCGATCTAACATTGCTTTGGTCTCACACAGACGGGTCACCAGCCTCTGGCGCAATACCGTACACCGCACACTATAGTCTGTGCGATCTAACATTGCTTTGGTCTCACACAGACGGGTCACCAGCCTCTGGCGCAATACCGTACACCGCACACTATAGTCTGTGCGGTATACCATTGCTCTGGTCTCACACAGACGGGTCACCAGCCTCTGGCGCAATACCGTACACCGCACACTATAGTCTGTGCGATCTAACATTGCTTTGGTCTCGCACAGACGGGTCACCAGTTTCTAACGTGATACCGTAGACCGCACACTATAGTCTGTGCGGTATAACATTGCTCTGGTCTCACACAGACGGGTCGTCAGTCTCTGGCGCAATACCATACACCGCACACTATAGTCTGTGCGATCTAACATTGCTTTGGTCTCACACAGACGGGTCACCAGCCTCTGGCGCAATACCGTACATCGCACACTATAGTCTGTGCGATCTAACATTGCTTTGGTCTCACACAGACGGGTCACCAGCCTCTGGCGCAATACCGTACACCGCACACTATAGTCTGTGCAGTATTAAATTACACCGACTGAGCAAAAACAATTTCCCAACTGTTTCCTTACCTTCAATACAGAGATTACCCTATATTGTAGAGATGCAGCAAGACTATCACACAAAACAGGAAAATTCTTCTCCCACAGATCGCTGCGCGTTCCACTTGGGATTCAATAGAGCGCAAGGTCTGTATAAGGCTACAAATAGCCTATAGTCACATGTTAATTGATCCCTAGCAGAGACAACAAATAATTGGATTGACAAGAGGCTGATGGCTGACTAATGACTACTGGCTGGATATTAATAGTGTGGTCGACCTGGCTAGCCACCTGGCTTGGCCTCTAGCCTCTATGTAAGCTACTGCTGCATTGTTCTGTTGGAATGGAGATGTTCATTTGACTATGTGATCATGATGAATGTTTATCTGTCGCGTCCAATACACTTCGTCTTGTGTGAGTCATTCAGGCTCACGAGTTAAGGAGAGATTAAACCATTTTGGAGAGATTTGAGGTGTGTAGGTTTTGCAGTGGTCTTGACTTTGAATTAGCGTATCCACCTCGCCGCAATACATCGATCATGTGTTGCATTTAGCAGCTCCACTAGCTGTGACCTCCACGCCACAAGTCGCCCGGTTCGATCCCATCCTCAACCCGCCCGAGCAAGCCGCAACATATCGACCGTGTATTATACAATAGGCGGTTCAGCACGCGACCGCAGCATTGCACGTTATTCCCACATTTACATTTCCCTTCACACTTTTTCTACAGTATTTTAACAAGTGGTTTTAATATTTGAGTGGGTCACGCCAATCGGCCATCAGTCTAGGCTGCATTTCGTGAATGGTAAATTCTACGTTTTAATGTTTTTATTGTTATAATTTCACAAATAGAGGTTTACGGAGTAAATGTCTTTATAAAAACTCAGGTTAGGTTTTATTAGTTGAACGTTTCTGTTTCAGAATATGGTTAAAAGGTTGTGAACACCTTTAAATGGCTGGATCATGTCAGAAGATTTTATTTTGTACTAAAAGAGTGATTTTTGTTTGTATTGTGTTGACATCGGTTTGAAAGTCTCGTCGATTCGAACACATATCTTAAGGGATTCAATATTTGCTAAACACTCAAATTTGGTTACAATTCACGATTATGCCCAGCAAAATTTCTGTTAAATAAATAACACGAATTATTAAAACGACACATTTAGGTGGTTGGTGAATTGAACAAAGATTGTTCTCAATATTATGTCTATAGTGTGAGATTGTGCCCTCAAAACCTAGAAAAATTGCAATGATCGTAATTTTCAAACCTCAAAATGTATGTAATAATTTTAACGATTTTGTGTGACAGAACTATTATTTGTTATAGTTTCAAAGATGCTTCTAGCTAACTAATTTATTTAAACTAAATCTCTGTTAACTAATATATTGTTGATTAATAACCTACTTGGAATTTGACATCGAATAATCTTGATACGTCGACATACGTGTTATTGGACCTCTCTAACCAACACACAAAACAAATATAGCTCTACACATACACATGTTTATATCCAGGACAGATCTTATACTCGAGCCTAACCAGGGGGAAAATCGGAATAGATTGTAATGCGAAGTGCACATAGTAGTAGGCCTACATACGTGCCGTAACTGTCATAAGCCCAGTGAGGTAATGAGTCCAGGCTCATAAACTATATCGGGCTCTTGAATATACGCAATCACCATTTATAACATGCTTTATGCGGCCCCGCGCACCCTTTACATGGATCTACATCAGTTTTACTATGTGCATTAAGGAATTCCACTCCAGAATAAGTAAAAAAATAGTGATATCACCGTTGATTGCGGTTGAAAATATTAAACTCTGTTCAGCTCGGGGCGCGAAATCAACGGCCATAACACTCTTAGGGTACGTCGATGTTTATGGGTAAAGATAGATCAACCATACGCCCATTAGGGAGCTATGAATCAGCTGTTCTCAAGTTATGTTGACGTGGAAGAAAATGTAAGTCGATTTGCATGCGATAACTCGGTGGGATTCACTTGTGTAGGAGCTTGTTTAAGGCATTGGCGAGACCTAGGGCTTAAACGTAATGTTCTTACTTGAAACACGATTGGATAAAGTCGAGTTTGAGTTTCATACTATGGTAAAGCGAAATTCATTCCTAAGATTTCATTTTATTTCCGATTGTTTGTTTTGCCTTTGGAACGCTGAAAAAGTATAAACGTACAATTTTAGACAATTTGTTCAAAGTAAGTAAACAAAGAAAAGCTTAAAATGTTACTGAACAATTTAGAACGATTTCAGGAAAGATATAGACCAGTAAAATTATTAAAAAAAACACTTATTACATAACGGACAACTTTCCCAAAAATGTTCATAGAATTAGGAAGATAAAATTAATCGAACTGACAGAACCTCCATTCTCTCAAGAACTAAAAGTGAAAAGCAGAGAAATATTTATATAATTAAACACTACTTTAAGCGTAACGATGTTTGGGGCTTTTAACGCCCAACACGGCAATAGATTGATTAACAATGGCTAATGGAGGAAAAACACAAAGGGAAAACACATAAAATACGCAGCAAATGTTGAATCCTACTGATGCCACTTTGTGTGAGGATTTGTCTGGATTATTCTTTGTTTGTTGTCAATTTGACTGTGTCTGTTCTACACGAGACTGTCCATGTTATTGGAGTATTGATTGGAGGAACCGTTCCGCAACCACAACCGCAAAGAACCGTTCCGTGCAATGCAGATTGTATGTTTTTGTTTGTTTTTTAAAGAAATACTTAGAAACTCGAACCTAGTATATAATAAAGTTCAATTTACCTTGCTCGGCGGCGACGACGGAGACCCCGGCCAGCATTAGGACGAGCACGAGGCCCATGGTCCGCCCTCCACGGCTCAGCCCCCGAGCATCCTGAAACATAAGTAACTGTTACAAACCTGTCACGGTTACAACACAATACAAGTCACAGTTACAACTGAGGCTCATTGTCCACTCTCAACGGCTCATCCCCCGAGCATCTTGAAAACAAGTAAGTAACTGATACAAACCTGTCACGGTTACAACAAAACAGAAGTCATAGTTACATATTAATCACGGTTACAACATAGCACAAGTCACAGTTATAACTGAGGCTCATGGTCCGCCCTCCATGGCTCAGCCCCCAAGCATCCTGAAAAACAGGTAACGGTTACAAACCTGTCACAATTACAAAATAGCACTAGCAACTGTTAAAAGCCTGTCACGGTTGCAAACATAAAACAAATCGCAGTTACAAACATTGAATATTGTCACTGATGGCGATTAACATGACTCTTACTTCAGTAGTCGCCATTCTTCAATTGACTTCGCAGAAAACTACATGGAACCACGGTTCTCAGATTCTATTTGATCGCAACCGTGATTGTTAAACCGACCGAAATTCGAATACAGTACCAACAAACCTTAGCTCCACCCTGATCCTGCCTTTACAAAACTCGGAGTCTTATTACACGGGCAAACACGCAGGCTAATCCTACGTCGAGACTGGAGCTGGAGAGTGGAGACTCCAGTAGCATGGTGTTGTTGACAATGGGATCACTGTGGCAGCTCAGATAATGTACACCTGTGTTTGCAGAGGTAAGATACTGAGGCAGCTGTCGCCACCAACCGACAACCGACGACATTCTTGTGTCCGTGCTCACAGAATTGCGAAAGTTTTACTGAAATATAGTATCTGTTTGGGAAATATAACAGAACAAAATATACATTGTATTAATATTGTCGACACTGAGTGTCCACTGCAACGCTTTAACAAAAATCACACTAGAATATTTTATGCACATTGACGAATAATATTTAGCTGGGGGTTTTAATTTAGTGTTCACATTAGAACAAGAACCAAAAGGGTGAAAAAAACATATTATTGTTGCACGAAAAATATTAAGGATAAACAACAAAAACTGCAGTATAGATAACAATAAAATTATGTCAACGAAAAAAAAACAATGCCTACTAGCCACCTAATAATAATAAACCATTGACTCTTGGATACTAAAGTACATTCCATTTATCATAGAAGAACTTTGTGCACCAGTCACAGATTGCGCTAGTCTCTAAAATCTAAAATTTAATTTTCTACCTTATAAGTCGCTACTGAGATAGTTGGTGTCCTATGAAAGAAGGTATAGCTCACAATAAGTCGCACGAGTTGTTCATAGTTGAACAGTCAGCATATTTATTTAAATCAACGAAACCTGTCGATGACTCGCCTCAACTACCAATTAGTCAAAGACTTGACAATGATAGTTGGCTGTAAACGTAGTATGTCAATATCAGATGAACGTTTCAGATGTAATTAAGAGGATTCCATAAGTGAGATTTTATTGCTTTAAAGTGCATAAAGTGTATTAAACGAACCTAACAGGTCTTTCACTGCACAATGTGAATACTGTACTACCAAACAAAACCAACAGTTTATAAAACAAAATTTATCAATTATCAATTATCAATTATTTAAGATGGGGACGCCACTATGTGCGTATTTTAACCCAAATATGAGTGAAGGATGAGTGTAGGATGAGTGGCGCGATCTTGTAGTCTTGTTAGTGACTAAGGCCGACATGTTCCTTAGACACAGCTGTTAATTAATAGCCCATACAGCTAATGGCAACTAAGGGACCTACAGTTTATAGTGGAATCCGAACCACATTTTTCCTTGTAATTTACGAATTGGTCTAATTATCAGGATAGTACTGCGGATAGTCGTAGTACTCACTAGTGCGGACGTTAATCCACACCAGTGAGCATCGCATCCACAGTGCATCCCTATAAATATCCACAATTCGTGACCTCCTAGTAGCTGGATTACAGGACGACGCCACCCGTCCCAGTGCTAATCTCAATAAAATTAATGTAATAGGCCTACCACAAATTACAATAATATAATGAACAACCTATCCCAATATGAAATACAAACAAAAAAGTGCTTTTCACAGATTGTAACATTACCGTAGAACGAGAATAATCTGAATGGCTAAGCCCTAAAGCCCCTTTAGTAAAATACAAACACACATTTGTCACATGCCGTCGACGTGTGGGTCCCCGGAGAAATTATTCGGCTCTCGCATTTATTGTTGTGAAAGCAGATGAAACACTAATCCTTTTGTAACCTTCGGCCTAATTACGCCGTGTATTATCCGAATCCAACATTGTGCGGAACAGATACGACTGGAGATTAACGGTAAAACATTGGTTATTTATGCTTGGTTAAAACATGACGATTCGATGGTTTGATTCGCGTCTGTAAGTTTTCGAGACTGCAATACCACGTTCAATGTTTTGGCCAACTTTTTGTTTTGTATATTTTCTAGTTACAGTGTTGAATACAATTTGGAATAAAATATTAGAATCTAAAATATCTATGTGTAGTTGAAAATCGCCAAATCCCCAAGATTCCAAAATAACCTTTTTTATCTACGGTTTTGAAGGATCATATTTATATTTTATATTGTTTGGCCATAAATTGGATTGGATACATTTGAAGGTAAGTGCTTTGAGTAATGAATGTATGATCTTTATAAGGTAGAGCACAATCATCAAGGAAAGCTGGACCCAGTCTACCACTAACCGTCAAAAAGCTATCTTAAGTATCGAACCGTCTATCCAGCTCAGCTATTCAGCAATGGGTATATTGCTAAGTATATTAGGGTTGGTATATGTATTTATTTGCATACTGTATACACATCACAATTTGAAAGGGTATATTTTAAAAGAATGTGAAATTCCTCCATTTCCCTTCAACATCTTTTATCCCTCATGAACTCTCAAAACTTCCAACCCATACTGTCCACAGCTGTGCGACCTACTCAAACCTCATTTGGACCTATTAAAACGGTAACATATTCGTGTTGGGAGAACAATAAGTAATTAATGCGAGAAGCTATGCAGGAGCAATGCACGCCGCGGTGGATCAAAGGATGTTTTTATAGTATTTTTATTACTGTTTTCTTTCCAAGGAAACACCAAGGATAGTAGGTCAGACGAAGACATGCGGTAATAGCTGCATAATGATCTTATCTGAGGATTCTCGGCTTCCGTCCATATAGTGGACAGCCGTCGCTGCGGTAGGGACGAGGATTGTATGGTGATTTGAGAGGACGCGTAGACCAACGAGAGAGGGAATTTATAACACCTTCACATCCTTGGAGATTAAGCTCTAGCCTGGAACCGTTATCACATTATGCTAGACCAAAAGGGTAGCGTCATTAACGGGTAAAGTCCATTGGTGATTGGTCGGATTTGAACCAATGACCTCGAAGACTGAAGCCCCGCTCTTTACCAGATCTTGATATACAGGTAACAAAAAACAAATGTCTCATAATGTAAGATATACATTCTAAATTTCTCACCTTTGGTGTAACTTGTAACTTACAACCATGTATAACAGTATAAGAGAAATTGTCACCTAGTCTACCTTCATAGGGTATTAACGTGGTACATGATACTGTGGGAAACAGAACAAAGACTCATCCCAAAAAAACTTAACACTTCAGATTACAGTTACCAAATGAAGTATCAGTTACTGAGCTTTCTTGTCACCTTCACTGAAGCTTCCGTATCTATTTCACTTGATTTCCCACACTGTGAAAGCTACAATAGTGTTATACAGTTGTCAATAACATACACATTTAAATGTGTGCACTTCAAGCAATCAGCTGATTTCACGCTGTAAATTTGAAACCAGCATTTCATTTTACAATTTTAAACAACGCAACGTTCATACATGCACGACACGAAACTATCAATTCCATTGTAGCCGAGTACTAAACGTCGTTTAACTCGCGCATCTGACGATAAACTAAATTACACTGTCAGACATACAATCGCATTGTTTACGAGCTAAGGTGAATCGCCCGGGATGGGTTTATAGGATGAGTTTATTTCTCGGAATCGCAAATCGCAGCGATACGTAGCAAAACAATGTTACGACTAGGTCACTCTGCGATCGCGGTAAACGTCATGCGATATTTACAACGGGGATTACTGTCGTAAAGTTAAATTGTATTGCGATTTTATTGAGAAAATGAGATAGTAACGTAATCGTTCAATTAAGAGGGGAACCGTGTACCTCGGCGAGTACGGAAAGAAGCTGTGTAGTGGTGGTGAGCGAGTGGAAATTATTGTACCACACAGACATACTGCTTGGAAATATGAGGTAAAAATGTCACCGCACCACAAACACCCTTCAACATTTCGCACACTGATATACTTGTGGTTCGTTAATTGAACAACAATATGTCAAAAAAATATTTGGATGAAAGATTTTAGAACGAACTCAAATCATGCGTTTTATTTAAGGTGTAGACTATTATCAAAGACTTTTGGACAAAATTTACATCAGTACTCTTCTCAAGAAAAAGCGGCTATCTATGAGCCATGAACCCAAGCTATGATCAAACTAAAAACTAACAACACGATTTTTCCAGAAAAAAATTAGGAAAAATAACTAGAAATTGGTGGAGGAATCTCTTTGTGAAAGGGCGGTTATAACCTAGATATCAAGTGTTAAAGACAATCGAATCTGCTCAGGAAAAAGCAATCGTAAATCATCACAAATTATAGGGTCTAACCAAACTAGGAACTAACTGTAGGGTCACGTTTTACACAGTATACTGTTTGCCAATGGTTTAACCAAAATATACACCGACAGTAATTGTTGCCCAGAAGTCTGTCTTTAGAGACTTCAGAGTTCAGCCTTTGATAATACTCCTAGGTGTATCAATGGTCCAACCAAACTACAACCCTACAGTAATAGTTGGCCAGGAGGGGGCGGATGTCCCAACCAAAACAGACCCCGACAGTAGTCGTCTGTCATCCTCCGGAGGGACCAGGTCCTCAAGGACACCAGCTTCGGGCGACCTTCCTTCCTTATA